AAGCAAGAAAAAAACTGATCAGGTCTAGCTGTGCTGCCTATAGCCAAAATACAACACTCAACTGAGAGGAAAAAAAAAAAGAATTGCATCATACCTCATTTTACACTTATTTTTGTAAGCCTAAACAAATATTATGTAGCCATCATTCTGTTCTTTGATTACACAGGGTGTGGGTAATTATCCACCCACTCATATATAGGCCATTATACTTGATAGCATGATAGCATGCCGTCAAATGCATAAATTGATAAGCGAGAAGCACTAGGACCCAAACAGTCCTTCAGAAATGCCGCCAATTACAGTGTCAAAGCGAAAAGCTTTTTGGAGAGCAACCAGGCTATTACTAAACGACATCTGGTAAAGATGTCTGACACAGGGTTTGAAGTAAGGCATTGTACAGGAGCTCCATATTTAGTTTTATGACGACTGGTTTGTGCGTGAATGCCTGCTCATAATTACACCTTGAGTTCTGAGTGCTCTGGGAAGTGGGATGTAGGGTTTATTGAATGTTCAGTGCTCTGCTTTTTCAGTCCTTTCTCTATGTTGCTCTAAGAATCAGTCATTAATACATTCTCAGAACTCTTTAGTCATTCGCAACACGGCACAAGGACTGTCCATTTTAACCAACTAAATTCAGTCTATAAATAACATAAACATACACAACAATTTCTTTCATTTTAGTCTCTTTAGACAATGTCACCATAGTCAGAACTTACAGAGATTCAAATTCTTAGCCTACTGAAATGTTCAGAACCTTGGTGTCACATCTGTTGACTTTTGAAAATTACATTAATTATTTGGTCTAGACAAAAAAAAACAAAAAAAAACGGTACACCACCGCACAATGCGTAATATGAAAGAGGCTGGAATTCTACATGCCTTCATCATCTCCCATCATTTTTTTACTGGCATGCACTTTTCATCAGCCTCGTCAAAAACACAGCTAGACAATTTGGCAACCTGTATCGTCTTGTATTAAATGCAAAACACTTCTCTTAACCTTCACAGCTCTTCATAGCCCTTCCCCCCTTCATCTGTCTGAGCTACTCAGTCTATACACACCTGCACAGGTGCTCAATAAATAATCATTATTATTATTTTATTTATATTATTATTATTATTATTATTTTACTAGGAACAAATATACACAATATAAGCCAGGCTAAAGCTTTTACTAATATGTAAACTTTCGAAAGTCATTTTGTCCTCCTTACTGAAAGAACTCACCTTGGTGAGGTACCATGGGAAAATACCATCATAGTTTTCTGGAACACCAATTTTAAGATGAGCAGTCTCAGAAAGCAAAATGTTCTGAGACAGCACCTAAAATAGAAAGCAATTAATTGCAGAAGTAAATCATGTTGAGTGATACACATATACAGTGGGTATAGAAAAGAATCATTCTCCATACTCCTTTAAAATAATCACATTTTGTTGCTTTGCAGCCTGAAATAAAAATGGACACAGTTTTTGTTTTACCCAGCTGTATCCAAGTGTTTTATCCACACATCCAAGTGAAAGATCTAACACCAACATGTCAGAAAAAAAAATATTAAAAAAACAGAATCACTGAGTTGGAAAAAGGATCACCCACTCCTAAAAATAACTTGTAAACTCAATCAGGTGTAGCTAATCACCTTCTCAATGGCACACAAAGCCATTTGACTTTCAACTGTGATCAGCTGTGGTCATTTTGATTAGCTCAGCATGAAAAGAGCTTTCCTGGAGCATTTCAGTCCTTGGTAGTGCAACTGAAGCAAGCAATCAACTATGGGTGGCAAGACACTGTCAAAAGATCTACGGGATAAAGTTGTGGACAGGCACAAGTCAGCAGATAGATTAAAAAAAAATCAAAGGCTTTATCAATGTCTAGAAACACAGTGAAGTCTATTATTAAGAAGTGGAATATATTTGTTAGAACACAAACCCTCCCTGGATCAGGACGTCACTCTAAACTGGATGAAAGCTAGGAGGAAACTGGTCAGAGAGGAGACCAAGAGACCTACAGCAACTCTGAAGCAGTTGCAGGAATTTATGACAAAGAGTGGTCATTATGTGCATGTGACAACAATATCACAAATTCTCCACAAATGTGGCTTGTATGGGAGGGTTGCAAGAATAAAGCCACTCCTCGAGAAACACAAAACACACCTTGAAGATTCTGAGGCAGATGAGACTAAAATTGAATTATTTGGCTTCAACACCAAGCAATATGTCTGGCGGAAATCCAATACAGCTCACCATCCAAATAACAGCATTCCTCCAGTAAAGCATGGAGGTGGTAATGTCCTGTTATGGGGGTGTTTCTCTGCAGCAGGGACTGGAGCACTTGTAAGAAGGACAAAAGGATGGGGCAAAATACCGTCAAGTTCTTGAGGAAAATCTGCTGCCTTCTGCCATAAAGTTGTCAATGGGAAGAAGGTTTATCTTCTAACATGACAATGACCCAAAGCACACAGCAAAACTGAGCACACAGTGTTTTAAGGAGAAAAAGGTGAATGTCCTTGCATGGCCTAGTCAGAGCCCAGACTTAAACCCCATTGGGTATCTGTGGAATGACTTGAAGACTGCAGTCCACAAATGCTCACCATCAAATTTAACTGAACTTGAGCAATTCTGCAAAGAAGAGTGGGCAAATATTGCAAAGTTAGTAGAGGCATATCCCAGCAAACTAAAGGCTGTAATTAAAGCAAAAGGTGGTTCAACAAAAGGTCATTCTTTTTCCAACTCAGTGATTCTGTTTTTTTATGTTGGTGTTATATCTTTCACTTGGATGTTTGCTATAAGTTGCACTGAGTAAATACAGCTGGATAAAAAAAATTTAAAAAAAACTGTGTCCCGTCTTCATTTCAGGCTGCAAAGAAACAAAATGTGATTATTTTAAAGGACAATGATTCTTTTCTATACCCACTCTATATAGTCCAGAGAAAAAGGCTAACTAAGAGAACTTACACTCAGTGCAATAAACCAAGCAATCAGAGATTCCATCCAGACAACAGTGGCCTTCACGCTTAAGACAGAATACAACAACATCATTTTAGCATTCAGGCATTTTAGCAATCTTTTTTATCTATTGATTTGTTCATGTTTATGTAAAAAAAAAAAATATATATTTTTTTTTAGTTTTTGTAGTTTTTAATGGATAATAATGGATTTGCTTTTAAAGGTGCACTGCGTAAGTTTTTTTTCTTCATATGTGGTTCGTCAGCTGCTAAATTGTAGTTTCGCTATATAATGTACATGTAGTCTACATAATTAACTACATAAACACTCTGATCATTTCTTTGTGTGAAACCTTTGTGTGCACCTTTAAGAGGAAAAGTAGCCTAATAGTTTGAGCGAAAGAATCAAGCGTGCCATCAGACAACTTTCCCTCCAGTTAATTTTAAACTCGAGTACACCTCATTAATGTAACATCACGTCAGGTGTCGACTTACTTTTGTAGCCTACACTTTTTCAGAGATAGCTACAGAATTTAGGCTAAAGTTTTTTTTTTAATACAAAGCATGATCATAAAACAAGAATATCCGCTTTACAAAACATGACAATAAATTATGTGCGTGTACCCAGCGATTAGCCTACATGAATGTAAACAAACAAAAGTCTGTATACTCTACAATTACGTCGGGTAAAGAAAGAAAAATAAAATAATAAGCTACACCTTACACAACTATAGTATCTCTAGTCGAACTGTGTAAGATACTCAATTCAGTTTACTGTAATAAGTGATGCAGTTGCTGAATAAGGCAGAAAAAAAGACAAAACTCTGCAAATTGATGTCACAGTGGACTGTGACAAACTCTTACGCATGTCTTTGTCTATCTGAACATATGCTGTTTAATAAAAGCAGCTCTTACCTTCAGTCCACACTTCCCGTGAGCGAAATTGAGAATGGCTTCAAGTGTTAAGAGCATTGCCTCTCTTTTGTACCTGATTAATGATTAGCTTTCTTAATTTGACCGAGAAAACCTTTAACTACATGTTTCGTCCAATTACACAACTGACTAGCAAGTCCCTGGCTTGCATATGTATCGGGGAATAAATTACATGGTATAATAGCTTCAAGTCTGAATGTGTGTTTTCTGTTTGTAGTAGATAGCGCACAATGCAAATTAAAATTGTATTTTTAAAAAGTATTTTATTATAAAACCAATTGTAAACGTAACAAAATTAACAACTCAATAATATTAAATGGCATTAAGTGCAAATCAAACGTTTTTAAAAACAGCTCACAACACATAATTTATTGCTTCTATGTCGTTCATTTACACATGGAGCATAGATGTCAGAATAACCATATCAGACCTCTTATACTGAAACATCCTATTTATATTGCCTCTTGCCCTACCCCACCCGACCCCCCAAAAAACCCAAACCTTCTAGTTCAGTGTCTTGGCTGAGTTACGAACCTGCGCACTCAGTTTCAAGTACTAACATTTGATTCCATATGTAATATCAACAAGAAAAATTACTTGTGCTTATCCCTTAGACATCTGATACAGCTCTAGTCCACATAAGGAAAATAACATTTCTTTTGCCTTTGTGCAAACATACCCCATAGCTCTCCAAAGGGAACATTGTGATTTGTGCATTTACCTCCTATTTACATGCGCAGAATTTGACAACTCTACATATTAAGGCAGCAAAACACAGAATAATGTAACATAACAATAAAAAGCCTCATGCCAGTCAACATAATCAACATGATTTTGTCAGTTTTGTTTCATATCGAATCTCTTCTCAGTTTACAAAACAAGTTAATTTTTGTCTGTACAGCTAGACAGTCCTCATATTAGCATGAAAAAATTGTATTTTTAAAAAGTATTTTATTATAAAAACCAATTGTAAACGTAACAAAATTAACAACTCAATAATATTAAATGGCATTAAGTGCAAATCAAACGTTTTTAAAAACAGCTCACAACACATAATTTATTGCTTCTATGTCGTTCATTTACACATGGAGCATAGATGTCAGAATAACCATATCAGACCTCTTATACTGAAACATCCTATTTATATTGCCTCTTGCCCTACCCCACCCGACCCCCCAAAAAACCCAAACCTTCTAGTTCAGTGTCTTGGCTGAGTTACGAACCTGCGCACTCAGTTTCAAGTACTAACATTTGATTCCATATGTAATATCAACAAGAAAAATTACTTGTGCTTATCCCTTAGACATCTGATACAGCTCTAGTCCACATAAGGAAAATAACATTTCTTTTGCCTTTGTGCAAACATACCCCATAGCTCTCCAAAGGGAACATTGTGATTTGTGCATTTACCTCCTATTTACATGCGCAGAATTTGACAACTCTACATATTAAGGCAGCAAAACACAGAATAATGTAACATAACAATAAAAAGCCTCATGCCAGTCAACATAATCAACATGATTTTGTCAGTTTTGTTTCATATCGAATCTCTTCTCAGTTTACAAAACAAGTTCATTTTTGTCTGTACAGCTAGACAGTCCTCATATTAGCATGAAAAACACACAGTTTCTGGTCGTGGGTATCAGAGGGCAAATTAGTCCAGTTTTTCATAGCACTGACAGGTCGTGACAGGATTTAGACTTCTGTCTGAAGGCCATCTTCTTGTTCTTCCGGGCCACCATACGGCCCAGGAAACGTTTGGCCTTTTTGCTGATGCTCTCGCGGCGCTTGCAGTTGGCCATCCGGCGGGCGTTTTCTTCTTTGCTGTCCTTGCGCAGGCGAATTTGCCGGACGATGCCCTCGAAGAGGTCGCGCACATTGTGATGTAGCGAGGCTGAAGTCTCAATGAACTTGCAGTCAAACACAACGGCACAGGCACTGCCCTCTAGAGAGACAGGGGAAAAGAGACACACGTGCAGGTGAGCATAAACTCCATTACCAGAGGGATGGAGGCTACGTGTCATCATTACTATGCCTCCTGGCTGTTCCTCAAAGCTCAGGAGACAGGCAAGTGCTTTATCCAAAACATCTACAACCTGACTCCAACTAGAAACTGCAGGGTCTGTTTCTACCTGCCATATTTAAAATGGAGAAGAAGGTGGCTGAAATCTTACCATCCACAGAAACTTCTCGGGACCGCACCAAGTCACTCTTGTTTCCCACCAGGATGATGGGGATGTTTTCCGACTGCCGAGCTCTGCGCAGCTGGATTCGTAGCTCTGAAGCTTTCTCAAAGCTGGACTTGTCTGTCACAGAGTACACGATGATATAGGCGTCTCCCATACGCATGCACTGATCTTTCAGCCACTGGCTGTTGTCCTGCAGGAACAAATTGGATGGTTATGCAGGGAAAGGTTATTGCTGATCATAGCTAATGACAATGACATTACATTTTTTAATTTAGTTAAAATATTTAACTTGAATCTTTTTCATTACTTTAATGTTTTATTTATTTTAATTTAGTTCAAATATTTTATTGTAAACATATACTATAATATTTTATTTATTTAATAAATGCCCATTGCTTACCTGCTCCCATATGTCATGCGTGTGATGCATAGACGATGAGCTGATTCATGTTCCGCTTTTACTTCAGCCATGAAATGGCTTCCTCACTGCATACATATATATCTTTTTTATTTATTTATTTATTTTTGTTCCTCCTGCTGAAATAGACATCTTGCTATTTTTAACTGGTTGAAGCTGGTCTCCCAGCCTGAGCTCAGCATGCACTGTAAAATTCGTAATTTTAAAGGCAAAACAATGTGAAAATGCTGTGAATCGGCATACTGTAAGATACCTAATACCATATTTCAATGGACATTATCATTTTACTTTGTTTTAGAATTGTGTGTTACCCTAATGATCTTTTGCTTTGTTTGTGTGGTTAATTGTGCTCTCTAGTGTGATTATTGGTTTATCACAATGGCTGGAAAGGTCAATTTTGTGGATTTTGATAGTTGCCTACTGTACAGTAACTAGACTGGTTGGTTAACATATTATATGATTTCATGATATACAGTTATGAACTAAAATCACCAAAACGTCACCATGTAATTCTTGAAACATCATCACTTTGAATTTCTATGAAATATAATGAATAACATTTACTCAGGACCAGCAATCAACTGTTTTCCCCAGCATTCAAAAGGTATGACTTAAAGAGATTTTCTGATTAGTATCAGAATTAGTATCCATTGTCAGATTATCATTTATTATGTTTGTTGCATGCTAAAAACATCATCCTATAATTTTCAAGGGCAAAATCATGTTGGTGGAGTACATTTATAGGTAGTTCAATGTTGCCATCTAGTGGTACATGATAGGTATTGTCACGTACAGGCATTTACCAGCAAGTGCATCAACTAACCTGTGCCTTGCCAATACAGTTCTACTTTATTATTCCAGTTATAATCGAAGATACATTTCCATATTTTGACTCTTATTTAACAGCTGATTGTATAATATGGGAGTTGCATATGGCAATTTCTTCATGTTTTATCAGATCTGATTTTAATTAGTCTATTTTTTGCATTAGCACTGATTCTGTGAAACTAAATGATTTTGGCAAGTAGGCACCTTACATAAGCCTTTTATCCACACCAAGCTGATTTCATACTTATTATGTGGAGGAGGTTTATATATTGTGATGACTTGCCAAAGTTATGGGATTTTTATAGCCTCACTGTAAAAAATGATCCGTTATTTTAACAGTAACACTGTAAAAATGCTATAGTAAAAACCTGTTAATTGGTTAACAGTAAGTTTCTTATTATTATTTTTTTCTTCTTCTCAGTCAATCAATGCTTATTACAGTTAAAAAGAGCATTTTAACCCAAATGTTAGGCATCTTTAAGCCATCACCAGGAAAACAACAGCAACTGCTTCCTTTACCAATCAGCATCGGACCAGCATGTATAGATCTTCAGTAAAGCCAAACAGCACACACGGCCTAGCAATCCTACAAACCAGTACAATTACAGTGATAAGAGTTTAGAATAAATCTTCTTCATTGTGAGACAGCCAGCATTTCCTCGCACAATAATAAATACGTTTAGATTTAGTCCAAACAATACGAATAAAGTAGCATTTTTGCATTTGAAGATTTGTACTTCAGTATATGTATTTTAAAGAATCATCCCTAGCAATCTATCAAAAAGCCAAGACTCTTATTATGTCTGCTTACACACTCTTTATTGAATGTAGGCCTACTGTGCTCATTTGAATTATGTCCAGTTATACAGTATAAGTGTTATGGCATTCTGAGATTAAAATAACTGCATTAGCTGCCATAGAGAACTCATATGTTTGTATTTCACATTTGTCAGTTTGCTGTTTCATAGCATTCATAACATTTTCTTTATTCTTAGAAGCTCTGCATGGCATTTTGAGAATGCAGTGTGTGCATTATTAAACTATAAATCACGTTAAACTAGCACAACTTTGGCCAGTACTTCAGTTCATAATGAGTCTCTTCCTGAGATGTTGAATCATCCACACAAAGGATTTATAGACAAAGAGAATATCAAGAGAGTCACATGTTATATTTAATGGACAAGTGCTTTTATTTCAGGTTCTTTTCCAACCAATGATACTATAAATCTGGCTGCTCTACTCTGCATTGGCCTGAAAGAGATCGCCATCCACCCGCTGACAGCTTCTGTGTGCTTCTGTGAAGGTCAAAGGTTAATGGTATTGGGTGAAAATTAACAAAGCAATTTATTCATGTGCCACAACCCCTGTCTTCTTTCCAGGAGGACATTTTAGCCTTTCTAAACTCACAGAGGTGCTGGTATTGATCAAGGTCGGTTGGGTGAAATGTTAGTACAGCAATACTTTCTGTTTTTTCTGTTGCACACATTTTCCATTTTGACCAATAAAAAATGTATTTGAAAAGTCCACAACTTTCTAAAAGTAAAGTCATTTTGTACATATTCATAAATATATGACAGAATTACAGAATAACATTTCTTTCTGTATCCACGTACTGTCAAACAGAAAAAAAAAATATATATATTTTGGTTCCACATGAATTCTCTATTACCACCGTTTCTTTTCCTGACACATTTTTAAACTCTACTTGGAAGCATCTCTCACTTTTTAAGCACTAAACAGTCCTCCTGGTCTGGTGTTGTTTGTGGAGTACAGCACCAGATATATAAAAAATAGCCACAAATAATAGCACTGTTATTATCACTCAACTCTGGCTTGCCTGTAAGTGTTCAATCCTGACTGTCAAAGGACTACACAACAACAGCGGCAGGATTCTTGGGATCACATGGCTCTGGAGGACAGACACTGGTTGACCACCTCCAGCAGCTGAGAGTTCTCCAGAGCTGCTGCCACTCTCTCTTTGTCTGCAAGCTGCTTATTGACTGGAGGAGAAAAACACAAGTGAATTTTTATTTTAAAATGGAAACAGGGTGCTGTGTAATAGAAAAATACACTTGAATTTCTAAGGCCTCTAATGTTTTGTTATCTGATTGACAGTATATACTTTCATTAGTAAGTGAAAGGCCTTTTAGTATAATTCTACAACCATACACCTTTAAGGTAATGAAACATGCCTTTTTGCTGTGAAATCTACTGATTTTTATGAAGTAAACATAAGAGTCATTTTTATATTGTTAGTGTAATTTTAAGATGAACATTTACTGGAATGAAGCAACTTAGACTTGCTTGATTATCCATACATCATTTGTTAGAAAAAATCATGTTAAAATTTATATAAAAAAATAGAATTTAACATGCTTTTGAGGCTTCTGAATTTATGTTTTGTCTGTTTTGTCCCCCAAAAAGTATTGAAATGTTACTAAGACATATATACTGAGTGTATATAGTGATATTCATGATATTCATATGCACACGATATTCAGTATTTTGCTATACATTTATAAAATCTCATTGATTTATATTATGAGCTATTAGAAATTAATCTTGCATTATGGCCATATAAATAGCAACTTATGCACCAAATT